GGCCTGGTTCCCGCCTATACAGGAAGTGACCAGTTTGTCTTTCACTCACGTTTAATTGGCCAAGTTTACTGACAGCACTTGACTCAATAACCGTTTATGACCCAGGAGTTTTATGTGTTGTTTTTGGACCCGGCAGGAAACATGTGCTGTGAAGTTTGAAAGGCAGAGTGAATTGGCAGCATGTGACTGAGAGCTTTCATTGATTTAGGCAGTAAAACTGTAATGGTGAGAAAACATTGTGTTATTTTGCCATGTATAACCGTTCGCCTTAGACCAGTGTCTTATATTAAGAAGACATGACTGGAAACTGGTGTTCACGCGGAAATAGCAAAACTTACCTAAAAACTTAAAACCCAAAAACGTACCACTACTTTATCCAAAAGGTTGTTTTACAGGATGAAGACACTTTACTTTAACCCACCACCAACAATTACAAGGTCTCCTATGATGACATATTTTACATTATTACAACTGTGTTTTACTATATTGTTCATTCATTGTCCGTTTATACACCTACTTCCAGTAATGGGTGTCCAGAAAAGGAATTACGGTTGTTGACAAATACATTATGAACACTTCGATTGGCTTACAGCTACATAATAGTGTGTTGTTAACAATTTATTACATGCTCATGTGAATACATGTTTATACTTAGAAATGCTAAACCAGGGGGGTTAAGTGTTACCTGTGTGGTTAAATCCTCACAAATAAAACTAAACTCTCAATGTGACAAATAAGAAATAATTTGTGTATGAATCATTTTTCTGCATTTGAAATTTTTGACTGTTTTTTAATCAGACGTAGGTTTACACTGTGTGTGGATAAATAGCAGCAGCAGGTCTTACAGAACTAGGCTGCCTTACTGTACAGTGCAGTGTTTTTCCACCTCTTTGGCTTCTTACAGCCATAAACAAAGTGATGCCTGCTTGCTTTCGCAATGGCCAGTGAACTTTGACACCAAATGATGTTTTGAGTTTTTTTCTCATAACTCTGTGTCCACTCTGTAAGGCATCACTGAGATCAGAGTAAAATAACAGTGAGTATATTTGCATGAGTCGAAATGCTGTGTGCGTGTGTGTGTGTGCATGTCTGTGTGTGTGTATGTCCCTGGAGCAGGTTGATTGTAAGGGGTGGTCAAAGAGAGTAAAAACATATGCAGACACACACACTCTCACGGCACAGAGCAGATCTAGTCTAATTAAAAAGCACAGCGGTGATTTCAGGGGTTCTGTGAAAGAGAGAATGAATCTGTATGCATGTGTGTGTGTGAGTGTGTGTATGCGCGTGTGTGCGTGTGTGTACTTTTGCATTAGGTCGCTGGCTTCAGCATGATCGCCCGTCAAATGAAACAATGTATTCCGTGGGACCTCGGGGTTTCCATTTGAGTATTCGGACGCGGCGCTGCAACGAACTGTGGCTGTTTTATGTGAAAAAAAGTTGATAATTAGTCCCACAGTGACTGAACGATGAGATGTAGAGAGAAAGAGAGAGCGAGAGAGAGTGAGAGAGAGAGAGAGGAGGAGGAGGGGGGATGGGGGGCATTGAAGGAAGAGGAGAGAGCGCTTATCACACTTAATACTCCAACCTGACACTGTCTGGGAATCATTAATCAATTGCTTATTTTGTTTGTTCTTTTTTATTTCCCACTCTCTTCTCTCCCTCCACACCCATCTCCTGCCTTCGAATAATCAGTAAATCTTAACCAGTCTACTTGTCTGATTTGATTAGCCACAAAATTAAGAAAAAATCCTCTTCAACCACCTGAGTGTGTTTTTGTCCGGTTCTTCACTTGTCTGCTGGCTTTTGCAGTTGGGAGTAGATTTCAAGCTATTGTCATTTGTGCTTTCTCTTTTTTCTTTTTTTGGAAGCCCTGATTCATTATTTTTTCAAAAGGGGCTGTGGTAATAATTAGCAATTAAAATGCTGTCTTTTTGCCTCACTTTCCCCTAATTAGCTTGACAGAGACATTGGGTACTAATTCTCTGTAGTTTCCCCCCCATCATCCACACATACACCCATCAAACTCCCCTCCACATGCAAACACACTCACGCAGACACACACAAACACAGACAAATCTTTCTGAGAAACCATGGCAACACCTCACATGTTTTTGCTGTGATCTGGGCCTCACCTTGTCATGTATCTCCACATTTAACCAAATCAAAATCAGGAGGAAGCTCTCACATCCCTGAACTGATTATTAAGCAGCATGAGATGTTTGTTATCAACGGTGTCTGTACTGCAGAAAACACTAGTCCTTACTCATATTACTTCATATCAAAAATAATTACACACTTAATATTTTTCATGCCCAAAAAGTATATTTGCAAAACCACCTTTGCACAACCTCACTATCTATAATAGATTCTGCGCAAGACAGAATTTTGCTGTTTCAAATTCAAAACTTTATTCCCCCAACACAATCTAATCAATGTTCATATTTCTCTTTGGCCTTGAATTTGAAGCTTTTGCCCTGTAATCTATGTCCAGTTTTCAATATACTAAATGTAGTTGGACAGTGTGGCTCTCAACAAGACTATAATGACTTTATGGTAGAAATTATTCCGCTCTCAAACAGATATTGTATTCCAAAAAGTCAGTTATTAGTCAGTGCTAGGGGTGTAGATACCACTGAGGTCATATCTTTTGTTTTTTTTTTTTACTGGAGTTTATTTGTAGTTTAAAATTCTACAACTCAGGATTTACATATTTATACTCAATACAGTTAAATTTCACTCTTTTTAGGTCAAGCTGAACATTGGCAACAGATGATAACTTGAGGATTCCTTACAATGGGGAATATAAACATATTATGACCCTATTGTTATTTTTCATTTAACAAATTATATGCAGGTTTGCCTAGATCAAATAAAGTCTAAAGCGGGAATAAATCTGAAGAATTGACCTGAATAAGCATTAAATGCGAACACTCGAGACTTTGCTTTGCACCCTCTTTAGTCAGTGCACAGAATGTACTTAGGCTGAACACCCAGCACTACAAAGCAGCCAGAATGTTATGCTTTGACACAGTATTTACAGAAGATATACTGTAGTTGGACACTTAATAAATATGACAAATCTAAATATATTTGAAAAATTAGAGGTGAGGTGCAGTGGAGGGATATGGACTCATCTGCAAGACATGCAAATACGGTCATCACAATTTTCAGCAACTTTTCTGATCAAGCCAGAAACTTTCCATGTCTTTGCTATGTTTCATTTGTTTCATATGCAGATAAAAACTAGCCTCTTCTTATCTCCCCCTTGTTGACCTGCGTAGGATGTCTGTGTGTTAAAGCTTAAAGCCCACGCTCGACTGGGTTAGCTTATGTAAGGCTATATTAATGCTACTCAGTGGGGTTGTTGGTGTGAAAGCTGGTTCAGGAGTCTGATAGGGGGTCAGACAGCTGAGTGGCAGCAGGAAAAAGCACATGTCATGTTTGTTTGGAGGCTCCTTTGTCACAGGACACACCCCCTCTCCCTTTTCCTGCCCTCCTCTTGGCCTTATTTAGCCCCCCGCCATGTCACCCAGAGGTCAGGGTGAGCACGCACACACTACACGCCAGCTCTCTCACACACACACACACACACACACACACACACACACACACACACACACACACACACACACACACACACACACACACACACACAAAGAGAGCACACACAGACCCACACACACACACACACACACACACACACATGCAAACGGATTGTAATAGCATGGTAGAGTGCATCATAGATGGAAGTGCCTTGAAGGACCTGCTTCTCATTCTCTAGACCTCATTAGCTGCTGATTTATCTCCCCCTCCTTCCTCCTAATGTTCTGGGTGGGTGGATGGGGTGTATGTGTGTATGAGAGACTGTGTGTGTGTGTGTGTGTGTGTGTGTGTGTGTGTGTGTGTGTAGGACAGGGGTGCTGTTTAAAAGAGAAATAAATATTGTGTGTTTTTCCATGGATTAATGTCTGTGTGTGAGAGAACTAGACACAGGGACTCTGTCGCTCCACATTAGTCCACTGCAAGCACACTCAACCTGGGGTCAAACAAATTAATAAAAGATCACACACACACACACTCACACAGAGCTACTATCTGATTAAATATTCTGCAGCCCTGCGCTTCATAATCATGACAAGTCCACATGGTGCTCTGGTTCACCATTATCCATTTAGCAAATTTTTGCCTTGTCTTGCAATAATCTGCTTAAACCCCCAGTGAGCTTATTATTGTCAAGGAAAAGTGCTTATAGCTGCGCAGAAAGGTAGGATTTTGGAAAGATGCAAATGCATTTTGCACAAAGAATTAATAGTGGACAAAAAGACTTCCCGCCAAGAGGAATTCCTGCACTTTTATTGCTTCTTCAGTTTGAGTTTCGACAGTTTTTCATGAGATTGATGCTTTAAAAAATTATCTTTGGCCCTTTTAAGTAATAATAACAACACGTGTTTTGTTATGAGGATGGGGAAGGCGTTAGGTTAAAGGAGCAGATGTGGCGCTAATATGAGTGTAACTCTGCCCTACATAATTCATTGACTCCTGGGGAATGAGTCTCTCAGGAGGAGAACCTTTTTTCGCCTTTACCTGATTCCCTCTACATCACAGTCTCAAGAGACGATACAGAGGAAAAAAAAAAAAAAGGAGGGAGGAATATTTCGTCATGCGGTGCATTTTGAAGTCCTCTTTAAAAGCCAAAATGAGCCCCAACCAAAGAATTCAACTTGTAACACTGTCCCCTGATAAATGAGAATGTTAATTACTCGGTTTCAGTGTAATATAAATCACTTGACCACTTGATTTGTCTCCACATTTAAAATCCTGTAACACTATAAATCCTTGTCTTAAATTCTAGTGTCTAGCGAGAACTGGGGGTTTCTATTTTTTCAACTATTTAGACATTGTTTTGATTGTCATTAACTGTCTTTGTACTTTCCCCACATTCCCCACAGAGATTGTTAAAATGTCAACTCATCTAACCTTTCTCTTGCTTCTTCCTGTAGACGTGAAGAATCTGGAGAACTTCCACCTTGTAGAAAGCGTCCAGGAGCAGGTCAACGCAGCACTGCTGGACTACGTCATGTGCAACTACCCGCAGCAAACAGACAAGTTTGGTCAGCTGCTCCTCCGGCTGCCTGAGATCCGAGCCATCAGCCTGCAGGCCGAAGAATACCTTTACTACAAACACCTGAACGGCGACGTTCCCTGCAACAACCTGCTCATTGAAATGCTACACGCCAAGAGAGCTTAGAAGAGGACTGTGCTACCCATAATGCAGCTGTGCGGACATCCTTACATCCAAATAATGAACCTCCATCTCAGACTTGGTTATGTGATGACCCGGAGGACGGAGAGCAGTGTGTGTTAGAAACTCTTGTTTATATTGAACTCACGCTGATGTTCAAGTTACAACTTGAAGTACAGATCTGGACAAACACACGTGCACCGCAGAGACTGATAATGTGCAGAAAAACAGCATCCCTTTATTCTAGAAAAAACAAACAAAAAAAAAAAAAACACCCCAAAAAAAAAAAAAAAAGTCTGAAAGAAAAGCCGCTTCTCCTCAACCACACAGAAAAAGACACTATTGAAAGGAAAAAAGAACACTTGAAACAAACGCTGCATTTGACACTACGAGATGGTATCTAATCGTCTGCACGGGCACAGACTATCAAGAATGGCAGGCTGCAACTTAAAGATTTAACAACCCTTGAGTGTTTTAGCACTGGTGACACTGAGAGGCTTTTTGTGCTGAGAAAGGAAGCTGAGCAACACCGCCCATCTTTCAGACAGCTTTGTGACTGGAGCAGTGTCTGATTTGGGTCACTAATCCTCCGGCGTGCTCTCTCACTTTAACCGGCTTTTAGCTGTCGTTGGTACTGTAAAGACAAACTGGGCCAGAGACTCTTACCTACCATCACGTTTGTTTCTTTTTGCCACGGCAGCTTGACCTGACTGAAAAGGGAGAAATGAGTTAAAAAAATAGGTCTAAAAACTGAACATTCTTTAATGAACAAAATGATAAATAGGCCAATAAGGAGAAAAACACAATGTCTTTTTTTTTTGCTCTTGTAATGGAAGTCATTTGCTAGTCATGGTCACCTTGTGGTTCCCCTTTCTTATTTCACCTCCCCAGATCATCTTAAACTATGTACCTCAGAAAGACCAGTGTTAAATAAATTCAGTTCATAATGTCAGCTGAAACAACTGTATTTATAGCCCCTTTTTCCTGCAAAAAAAACACCGTCCCTTTTCATGATTTCATTAAAACTGGAACAAAACAAAGTGTGATTCTGGAGACGGAGAAGGATGGACCCTGCCTTTGTTCGGAAAGACCAAAGCCTGCTGCAGAACAGAAGAAGGAAATTACAAATACCTTAATAATCAGTATTATAAAAGAAAAAAAAAAAAGATTTGTGATGTCACAGTTATGTGAGTCTTGCCTTATTTCATTACCATGCTAGCTAACCGTGCAGATGTGAATGAAAATATGTACAAATATATATATAAAGTATTAATGTTGTAAAAAATTTAAAAAAGAATAATTCAACAGGTGTTTACATTCATGTGGTCATATGGGAGAGAACTGTGATGAAGCATAAATTGCAAAGCAATGATTTCCTAAAAAATGAAATCAACTAAATGAAAAAAAAAAAAGATCCTTCTGGTTTGCTTTCTTTGATGTGTGTACAGTGTTTTATTTTTTATTTGTTTTGAGCAGTACTTAAATTATGTCGTGAGACACTAAAATCAAAAAGGAATCACACTTAAAATATTAATTTTTATCTGTGTCTGCTGGCATTCAAACATTTGTTTCTTAAATGTTGCTGTGTAAGGGATCCATTTCACGTTCAACCTTTTTGTAGACTTTTTTTTTTTTTTTTTTTTTTTTTTACAGTTTTTTTACCTTTTTTTTTTTTTTTTTTTTTTTTTTTTTTTACAGTGCTTTTACCTTTTTGATGTACAGTATGTCACTGGTTACGCTTAATAATGAAGATAATTTATTGCGTCTTTGGGTTTCCATCTTTGTGTTACATGACGTGAGGTGTCCGCGCCAGAATAAATTTGTTTACTGTAGCATGTTCTTGTTTTGTTTCCACGAGTAGCTCCGAGATGCAGGTCTGCAGCAAAAGTAATGAACTTTCAAAAAAAAGAAAGAAAAAAAAAAGAAAAATCGCCACAAATTTCTTTGTCTTTTAACTGTTTATGCAAGTCTGTACATTGAAAAGAGTATTGTATTTAAGCGAGTAGGTGTGAAAGATGTTTGTGCCACATCAGTTTTTCTTATTGAATTTACACCTGCATCATTGTTCTGTCCGGTTTGCTCTTATACCAAAGACTGCATCTTTCCCCTGTGAGCTCTGACCTCTAGTATTGTGTCCAAAATGAACAAAACTTTTTTTTCTTTTTCTTAAAACACGGCAGCCTAAATTATCCTCATGTGGAGTTCTTCACATGTTCAATAGTTGTTACTGTTTTTTCAAAGTGTCCCCAACACTTGCCTCCCACAGCAACCTGTGGTGTTTCTTTGTTTACCTTTGGATTTTGTAGATTATGAATAGAATGATCAAAAGTCTTTCAACAGCATGTTTAATGTACAGAAGATTCACTTAAATCCCCTGTCTGTAAGCTGATTCTGATCCCGCGCTTCACTATCTGATGTCCTCATTACCTGCGTCTACTGATCAGACAATCTTTTATCACCCACTTTCTATGTGTTTAGGCTGTGCAGCTGCCTGGACTTACTATAAGCTTACAGGTGAACACCACATGCAGGCATTTGTGACTAATGTTGTCATTGCAGATGTCCTTATTTTTACTGCATGTTTGTTATAACACATCTTAAGCCCTGCTCCTTTACTACAAGCTTAGAGAAACAGTTTTCTGTCACTTCAGCAGTCGGAAGTTACATGGTATGGTCTGACATCCAGCTGTTTGTTTTACAACATACAAATCTATAGATTAAGAGTAACTCTCAAGACGGACTCTTATCCAGGATAAATGCTTTAAAAAGGACTTAAACAATGGCTACCTTTGTGCATTCACATGCTCATGTACTTTGTCAACACATGGATACACAATTCATCAGTATGCTGTTTTCCTTTCTGCTTGTCTGCTTGTCTTTGCCCCTCCCGCTGACATTCTGACTGCCCCCATCAATTCACTACCTGGTCCTGGGAGTGTCTCTCTGAGGCTAATTGAAATTTTCCTCATATTTCAATAAATAATTATTATGCTTATAACACCAGATTCTCGCTTCCTCTGCACACTAAAGCTGTCCAGGTCTTTTTTTCTGTGGGAAACAATGAATAGCTACTCAAACATCCCAGTAAAACATTATAGTACCACACCATGTGGGAATGAAAGATTAATTTCTGTTTCTCCAACTGTATTTGTGTTTTCGGGGCATTGTTCTTTAAACATGTTTTGTCTAGTCGTGGTCAGCACAGGATTAGAAATGTCAGGAAAAGGGATTTCATTGTATTTTTTCTTTAAATCACTGCAGATACAGTATGTTCTCTTCTGTACAAAGTCCATGGGAAGAGTCACAAACTATATACAGAATTATAACTCCGCTGTTCTTTTTCTACTAATTATTTCATGCCAGTCTGGCCTTTATTTGATAGTTTGACAGTAGAGTGACAGTAGGAAAAATGAGGAGAGAGAGGGGATGACATGAAACAAAAATCATCAAACCAGGGACACTGCAGTTACATGATAAGTACCTTGCACTAATAGGTTATGAGGACACCACCCACTACTCAGTGCATGTAACAAATTGCAGTACTACCACACACTTTACTGTACAACATAATGCTTTGACAAGCACATTTATGGCAAGAAAAGGCATGAAAGATAGTATTTACATGTAAAAAATACAAATTTACCTACTGAAAAAATTATAGAGAACTCAGAACTTAAATTTAGATTAAAACCATATTTATAGCATTTAGCTTACATTATTATCCTGCGCATCTTAAAATAAGTGTTAAAGGCAGACTGAGTCCGAGATCACAGATAATACTTACAACCAGTATTAAGGAACGCAACACTTGTGGACACAGACATACTAAATATTCCTGTGTCACGACAATGATCACAGGTGACAGAAAATTGAAGACTTAAGAAAAAACGAGCTTATAATAAAAAGAAAAACATTTCACCAACTCTGATTAAAAAAAAAATAAAAAGAATCACAATATGAAACTACAATCACCATCACACCAACCAGGTCAGTCCACGTAGACAAGGCCGTAGCTTTTCTGAGGCGCAGGGCTGCGAGGGAAACAGGAAGTTGCAAACTCCAGCTCCATGGGGATGTGAAGACTACAGCCACCCGACAAAGCATCCACTTCTGAGGGAGGAGGCTCCTGGACAGAAGAAGGTGATGGGTAAGTGGTAAGTGTCAAGTCATTTTAGCAAAAACATATTTATTTACACTGTAATGACAAAAGAATAAGGTCATAAAATACACTGGTATATCTAGGAGACGATGGACGGAACATTTCCCACTTCGTACGAGGAGGAAGATGAATTACAGCGAACTGTATTTGTAATGTGTCTTTACAGGTTTTACCGAAGCACATTCTGTCACAGAATTTGGTTACGACTCCAACCATCTTCAAAAAACTTCCTTTTTAAAAAGCCTGAAATTAGTGGAATCCCTTTACTGTGTTTAAAAATACATGTTAAACATCCAAACATTTTCTCCATGATTCAGTGAGGTTTTTTTCTCTCTGATCAATGTTTTTTTTAAGATACAGGTCGTCTTCGTTTTAGTATTGTATTGCATTGACCTTTACTGCCTTGAACTCTCATGGCTGCGTAGCTTTCATCTTTTTTTTCAGCTTTGCTGTCAAACAACTTCAGTTACAATATTTGCAACAAGTCTTTTAAAATCACAACTATTAGCAACAATTATATATAATGTATTAAATTAAACCCTCAATTATTGTTGAGTGAGTGAGTTAACCTGACTTAAGATCTTGAAACATGTATTGAAAACTATTCAATATCACAACTTCTCAACTTTGACTCCATTCATCCCACAGGCTTCAACAGCTAAAGCTTTGGTGTTCATACAAATTACACTTAAATCTAATTATTTACTGAAACACTTCTGCTATTGCGATGTGATTTTTGGCATAAGGTTCAAGAATGATCTGAAGACCTTTACCCACTTAACAGCTACAGTTCCGTGCAAATACATGCTGAAAAATGAAGAATGGTTTTTCATTATTTTCTGGTATCTTACATTACAGAAGACGAGATGAAGTTAGACTGATTGGTACCACAGCCATTTTCCTTTTGTATGATCAACCCACAACTCCCTGTAGCCCATGACCAGCCTCTCTCTCTCTCTCTCTCTCTCTCTCTCTCTCTCTCTCTCGCTCTTCTCATGTTTGTTTAAAACACATACATGTTGACATATACATGCCTAATAAAATAAACAAGTTGTTAATCAGTTGTCTGTTTTAATGTAACA